AGCGTCCTAGTGGACGGCAAGTCATTTGAGACAGGGACTGAGGTGGTCAGTATGGAAATGAAGTAACTTGCCTTAACCTCTCCAGCTTCCTGATTTAACCATTTTCTCATTTCGTGACTCTACTTCTAGAGGAGTTCGAGCTTCTACTAAAGTAGAGGTGGTTACAACAGGTGGGCTAGGACAGTTAGAGGACAACAGAATTGGAGAACACAAACAGAAGACGATTCTGACCCAGGCATTTCTATAGAGAAGAAAAGTTTTGGAACAGTGCTGCATGATCATGCTTCAGAACTTTATAGAACCTCACAGTCCTTTGTATTTACGAGCAGTGAGATATTGGGCTCTTGGGCAGGTGGTGAAGACTGAGACATCATGTGTGTAAAATGCCCGGCTCTGGGAAGCCAAGGCCAGTGGATTGCCTGAGCTCAGGAGTTCTGCACTGAGCTCATCTCACTTGAGCAAGAGTGAGATCCCATCACTAAAAATAGCTGGATGTTGTTACAGTGGTATCTCTAGTCACAGCTACTTGGGAGGCTGAGGCAAGAGGATCACTTGAGCTCAAGGTGTGAGCTGTGATGCCATGACACTCTACAGATGGTGACAAAGTGAGACTCTGTCTCAAAAATAAAAAAAAAATAGAATAAATAAAGAAAAATAAATAAAATGCCTGGTTCTGTCCTTCACACATGTAAGATGTACAATAACTTGGACTTTCCTATCTAGCCTTATGATGGTTAGAGTAACATGCTTTCAGAATAGCTGGAAGAGAAAGTAACCTGAGAGACAGCTCTGTGTGTGTGCACGCATTAAAGAACTGTAGATCTACTAATGTCTTCATAGATTCAACCTCAAAGGTGCTTGGAAATGGACCCCCAGTCACTACATGCTTGGACTGATTTTCTAGACCTGTGGTACATTTGAAAATGAGAGTAAGGGTACCTAGAGAGTACATGAATTTAATAAAAAAAAAAAAAATCCCTGAAACCGTCTTGCACATATTTGTGCTTTTATTAACTAAATAAAGTAAAGGAAGGTGATGTCTTCCTTGATGAACAAAACAAAGACACAAATATGGACGAAAAGGTCAAGCTGGCAGTGACCACAATACTGGCGTTTCATAACGTATATAGGTGACAGAAATGACCTCAGAAGAGCTGGGCATTGCCGTGAGTTCTCATTTTGCCAAGTATGGGCAGAGATGCAGAATCAAGTCCCAGCTCTGGTACCAGTGTCTTGCTCTTCCCACCCCACCCCGAGGACCCCACTTTCTGGTTTCTCAACTGATCCAGCTTCCTAGACTGGCTCTCAGTAAAACACGCTGCACTCAGTGGAGTTATTTCCCTCTGTAGCCACCCACTTGACTTGTTATGTTCCCAACTCTCCTTCCTGTAACTTACCTCCCACCTAATTCTCTCCCCCTGTTCTTCTCAGCTGTGTTTTCCTCTCAGTAAGCTTTCAATTAGTCCCCATGGAGGTGTTAACTGATAACCAGCCTGTTAACTGAGGTGTGACTGCTTCTGGGATTGTTTAAAAGTAGGCTCTTTGAAGATGTAAATGTTCAGTTATATCATTTCTCATCAAATACTTTGTAGCAAATAGCAACCATCATTTTTTTATTTTTTGAGACAGTCTCACATTGTCACCCTTGGTAGAGCGCTGTAGCTTCACAGCTCACAGCAACCTCAAACTCTTGGGCTTAAGTCATTCTCTTGCCTCAGCCTCCCAAGTAGCTGGGAGTACAGGTGCCCACCACAAAGCCTGGCTGTTTTTTCACTGTAGTTGTCATTGTTGCTTAGCTGGCACGGGCTGAGTTTTAACCTGCTAGCCCGTGTATGTGGCAGCGCCTTAACCACTGAGGGCACCAAGCTGCGACCGTGATTTTTTTTTTAAGGTGGGTCACAAAGGTCAGAAGATTTTTAATTTATAGATGACTGGCCTCCCTGTGCATCAGAGTTTCTCCTCAGGCGCAGTTGCAGTGCTTTCCCCATCATGAAAACAATGAGGTCTGAAAACATGACGCTATATTCTTCTCGCCATTTCAAATTGTAGTAGAAGGTTAGAATGAGTGTGCAGAGGCCCGTCCTACCAGAGTGTGGAGGAGGAGCTTTCAGCTTCTGTCATAATGTACTATACAAGAATTTAATATGTTCAAATACGTAACAACATGGCCCTTACGACTACCATCGTCATATACACATCTTTGAAGAGTTAGCACACAGTCATGCTCCTAGAATTATCCGACGTATATTTACAGTGGTCCAGACTTTCACGGACTGCAACTAGGAGTTTCTGTGCTTTGTTATCTTACTGTCATCTGTCAGGGTAGAAACGGTGGAAATGGAAGAAGATACTTTTCTCTGAGTTAAAAATACTAGTTTCTTTCCTATTAAACATGTTGCATACGTATATATTTCTTACCGTACCTGTTATACATTCATTTTTTAAAATCTTACATTTGAAATTATAAATATTAATCTCAATTTTTATTTTAACTTAGTTTCAAGATATTACCGAATGTCATAGGAGATTGACTTGGAAAACTTGAGAAGGCAACGCTACTAATTAATCAAATAGCTCCTGAAATTTTGGAAGCTACAAGAAATGTTCAAAGGTCCTAGCTGTAAGAAATACAGTTTTGGCTGAGATCTCTAATAAATCAAGTGGAGATATATAAACACTGCAGTCTTTCAACTTCCAGAAATCTGTTATTTTATGTGCATTATTCACTTTGCCTAAACATTCTAAACATAGGGAATTTCATATCAGATTCTCTTTACTGGGAGCGACCCATTTCCTCCCAGTTTACGTAGAATATGTAGAAAAAACACAGAAAACCAATTATGTTGTCATTAATGAAGGTTGGAAAACAAAATCCGTGCTAGACCTTTGGAACCCATTTCTCGCCTTGCAGCAGGGCGGAGCTAGCAGGCTTTTAACGTTTCTGATTCGGGTTTCAGGTTCTAAAACACAGTTGCCAGCCAGTTGGGGTTTTTTGGGTTGTTGTTAAGATAAAGAGAAAATACATCTGTTGTAAGTGGGAGATATAGGTGTGCTCAAACAACCGACCTGGTAATGATTCTATCTTTAAAAAAGAAACAAGAAACTTCAGTCCTTTAACATGAAAGTTTGTGGTCCGTAATAACCCAGAAGCGCACAGCTAACTTCACATTTTCTCAAATTAAACAGATCTCCCAAGACGTTATAGGTGGTCTTGCTTTAGGGCGGAGCTCAGTGCGGAGGTTCACTGGATAGAAAGTCCAAGGGCTTCTTACTCCTTGAGGCATGAAGTTTCCTTGAGATCTCGCGTCCCACCCCCGCCTGACCGCCCTGGAGAGCTCAGGGCGGAAGCACCTGGAGAGCGAGTGAGCTCGGTGCTGCGCCGGCCGGAGCGGAGAGGATGGGCAGAGCGCGTCAGGAGCCGGGAAGCGCTTCTGGAACGGAGAGG